GGAAGCAGAGACTGAGAGAAGCATGATACACAGAACCACACATTTAAAAGTTGTTTTTTTTAAATGAATTAAGCAGAAGAAATAGGAGACTCAAAACAACCAAAGTAGAGATAAAAAGGGCCATTGATACAAGAAACTCAACTGATAGTCAGGGATCATTAGAGAGTATTTTGAAAACTTACATCACAAAAAGTTAAAAAGCTAGAAAAATGAATAAATTTCTAAAAACCTATGACCAAATAAAATTAAATCAAATGATAGAAATATATTAAACCCATAACAAGCAACATGAATGAAACAGTAATTAAATCTAGTCAGAAAGAAAAGCGAGGACCAGATGGAGTCACTGCCGAGTTCTGTAAGGATTTTAAGACTTGACATCAATACTCATCAAAGTCACAAAAAATGGAAAGGAAAGGGAAGCCACCAAATTTACTCTATTATACAAAGCCAAAGAGACAAACCAGGTAAGAGCACAACACAAAAAAGGAAAACTTTAGACCAATTCCACTGGTGGATAGAGATGCAAGAACTCTCAACAAAATACTTACAGACCAAATTCAAGAATACATGAAGAAGGGCTGGCAAGGGGGCTTAGCTGATATAAGTGCCTGTCACAAAGACTAGTACCCTGAGTTTCTTAGGTCTCAGATGGAAAGAACCAACTCCCACAAGTCATCCTCTGGCACACACACACACACACACACACACACACACACACACGTACGCTCATGAGGACACATGCTCATACACACACACACACACACACACACAAATAAATGCAATACAAATCTTTGAAGATACATCAAGGTCAAGCTGGTTTCAATCCAGGGAAGCAACATTGGTTTATCACACAAAAGTTTTTAAAAAATTTAAAAATTACCACTGTATAAATACATTGAATAACAGAAGTTACATGAGTGTTTTAATAGACACAGAGACGGCATTCGATAAAGTTCAACATGATAAAATTCTAAAGAAACAGAAAGCCACAGCTACACAGAGAAACCATGTCTCAAAGAAAGAGGGGGAGAGAAACTAAACAGAAGGAGAAAAAGGGAGAGAAAGAAAGGGACAGAGGGAAGGATGGAAAGAGAAAGGAAGGGAGGAAGGGAGAGAAGGGTTCCTACTGCTATACAAGGTGAGAAACACAGTGATTTTGTATTCTCCCAAGAAATCCCTAGAGAAGAGCAGTCTATGTGGAAGGACTAAGACTGAAAGCAGGTCTGGAAAGGACTATCTCCCAACCTCCCGAGATTCCAACAATGAGAAGAGGGGAAGGGGGACAGTGGGGACAGGTGCGTATGGCTGAGTGGCAGAAAGCAAATTCATGTGTTAATAATCTTATTTATTTGTAATAAAAACTTTATATCTTAACCAAGTTCTTAAAAGACCATAAATTAATAGTCTCAAAATTGGAGCTGTAAACTCTCTGTGCGTGTAGGACAGAGGCCAGGCCGGTCTTGAAGTCTTTTGTCTGCCTGACATCTACGCTCTTCCTGGCGGGTGTGGCTGTGTGGAACAGCCATCCACTCTTGGGAAAGGGGTAGCATTTCCAAGGCTGGTGTTTACACTTGGGCTCAGCTGCTTCTGTGGACTTGCAGTCTGGTGGAGCATGCAGATCCCTCTGAGGTACGAAAAGTGCAGCGTGTGTAATGTAGTTTTAAAAAGTGCATAGGGCCACAAGGAGCACAATCCATTTTTCAAAATATTAAACCAAGCATTTATGTGAACACGATGTAGTGGCAGGTTTAACCTCTGCCATGGTTTTTAGAAGAAAAAAGAGAGAGTTGGTTCTAGCAACATCGGTCATAACCTGTGTGACAGTGTAAGTCAAGAACACCTGTGAGCACTGTTAGTGAAAAGGCCCAGTACCGCCACTACTGTAGTCTCTATGTAGCCTTTGTTCCTGTCTGAAGAAAAGCAAAATCCACTTAGGGACTAGTGAGATGGCTATAGTTTTATTTCTCAGACCTCTCCTCTGACGTACCAAGAATTCAGGCTAAGAAGCCTGACTTAGTGGCATCCTTTCCCTGGTCCTACCTTATGGCTCTGATGAGGTACGGTGGCTGCCGAGGGAAAGTGGATAGTTAGTATCGGCTGAACACTCCACGTATACTCACATGTAAGCCTTGTAGTTGTTGCCAATCTTCTGAACCCGGATGTCATACTTGGCGTCAATGAAGGGTTCTGCGGTGGCATAGGTTTGGGTGAGGGCCACCACGCTAGCAATGTCCTGGAAGTCGTAGTGATTTTCCACTTTGACCTAATGTTGATGTGAGACAGACACGTGGATACGCACACCGAGATGCCACAAGGGCTGACTCCAAGCCAATCACGCAGTTTCTGACACTGGTAAACATGAACATCCCATCTCTCTAGCAGCTCCTCTGTCTCTAGTCCCTTCCAGGAGCTAGGGTCACACTTGTTGCAAAAGATCTAAGGGGACAGCTGGGTTGGTTGTATTCTTCATTGTATGACTGGGCAAAACCCATGGCTTCCAAGGGACCTGGTTGGGTCCTATGGAGAAACCCACTGATGCAGGAAGAATAGTCTACCAATGGGCTTGCTGAGTAAAAGCCCCCTTGGACACAACCCAGGTTGCCACCAGGCATCATGCCTTACCTTGCCCATGCCTGAGTGAGCATGGCCAATCTTCACCACCACAGGAAATGTAGGCAGTGTAAGCTGAGAGAAGAAAAGGAAGAAATGGACTCGTCAGTAGGTCTTTTCCCTTTGACATCCTAAAATATTTTTCTTGGGACGACCCTTGGGAACATCCTTTAAAGAATTGGTGTAGGGGCTGGAGAGAGCTCAGCAGTTAAGATGGCTTGCTGCTTTTGCAGAGGACCTGGGTTCAGTTCTCAGCAGCCACACCAGATGTCTCAGAACCTTCTGTAATTCCAGTGCCAGGGCTTCTGACGCCTGTTGGTCTCTGCAGACTCCTGCATGCACATGGTGCACATAAACGCATGCAGGCACACATATATCCATGTAAACAAATAATAAAAAAAACTTCGGTGAATATTGTCAAAAATACATTGCGTGAACTTCTTGGATAACATTAATAAAACATTAAAATAAGAAATAGTGTACACTGTGTGCTTTATACATGGGACCCATAGAATGACAGCAACATTCCCAAGGTCACACAGTGGGCTATGTGTGCCCTGTTCTCCTATCTGATTCCTTCTGCATCTCGCTGCTTCAGTTTCCCCTGCCTTAGACAACCCTGGCAGGACCTCCTCTCAGCTAAGGAGAATTTTTCTTTAATTCACGAAAGAGCGCATTTTGCTGGCTGCAGATTTCACTGTAAGAAACCAGAAACATTTGGAATGCATTCTGAGCATCTTAATGCCCACTGAAACATGCACCTCTGACCACCTCTCCCCGTCATGTGCCATCTTTCCCGTGCTGGTCCTAACTGCCCTCTTCCTCTGTCACACTCTTCCCTGCTTACCAACACCACAGACTCAGTACCAAACACAGACTTGGTATCCTAAGGCCTATGTCTGTCCAGCTCAGGATTTGGAAGAGAGAAGACATAAGAATTCGGTATGTTTGCTCTTGGAAAACATCCTCAGCAAGGTACACTCTCCCTCGAAGTAGCCTTGTTTAAACAGAGGAGGAATAGTTAAGACTTAAAAGAGGAAGGACCCTCTGAAGGTAGGGGTTTGAGCTGCAGCAAAATGAAGGCAGAAGCAGTAACACGGTGGAGCAGGGGAGCAGCAGACAGCACACTGGCAGCTAGAGTGGGGGAGCAGCTAGAGCGGGGGAGCAGCTAGAGTGGGGGAGCAGCTAGAGCGGGGGAGCAGCTAGAGCGGGGGAGCAGCTAGAGCGGGGGAGCAGCTAGAGCAGGGGAGCAGCTAGAGCGGGGGAGCAGCTAGAGCGGGGGAGCAGCTAGAGCGGGGGAGCAGCTAGAGCAGGGGAGCAGCTAGAGCGGGGGAGCAGCTAGAGTAGGGGAGCAGCTAGAGCGGGGGAGCAGCTAGAGTAGGGGAGCAGCTAGAGCGGGGGAGCAGCAGACAGCACACTGACAGGTGAAGATTCTAGTTCTCTCCACCACTCACCTGTCAGCAACCTCATAGCACTGAACCTCTGTCAAGTGACAAGATTGGGATGATGCTTTTAAGACCCCTCCAAGTGACAACTCTCTCTTGGTCTGAGCATTGTGTGAAGAACTACTCTAGACACCAGTCTGGACCTACCACCTGCCTCTGTCTGACTCGTTCTCTCCCAATTCCCCTTTTCAAACATCACCACTGCCATCTAACTGGACTCTTCTAAAGGAGACAGCTATCAGCAGCAGGGAAAAGTCGAGTCTATAATGAAAATTCGAGTCTCATGGAGTGGAGCGTGATCATGAATGTGAGTTTGGCGCTGTGGACTGCAAAACAAGGAGAGGAAGGAATCGTGTAGTCCAGTCCTGTTTCGTGGAGAAAACAGTTGGGGCCCAGAGAGGCAAAGATCACAAAACGATCCAGTGGCAGTTGGAATCAGGACTCGGCCCCCAGCTCCCGCTGAGGCAGTCATTCCACGAGTTTCTTTTCATTCAGATTCTTGGAGCACTTTGCTGACAAACAGTGGACAAGGCTTGGGTCACAATGACCGGAGTGCCTGTCTTGTTTGCTAAGCGGCTCCGCCTTCTGCAACATGGCAGTCTCCAGGGGACAATGATGTGCAGTAGGGGCTTTGAGGTCCGAAGTTTGCCCTGACCTGCTGGGCAGGACACCCTGCGTTTCAAGCTCCATGGAAAGAACTGCCCTCAACTCTGAACTCTGTAGTCTAAGACTCTGCTGTGAAGAGTTTTAAAGCACTGGCTACTTTCTCTGACACCCTTCCCCACCCCCCAGCTGACAGCGCCAAGACACACACACACACACACACCCCAACTTTCTCTGCCCTGTTCCCTGACTGTTTGCTGTTGCTTTGGAGCCTCATAAATAGGGCATTGAAAACACTTCCTGCGGCTGAAAGAAGCCCTGAGTAGCTTGTCTCATTCCCAGTATGCCGCTCAGCGAGGGGTCCGTCCTCCTCTGTCACTGTCTCTTTTGCCTGTTGTAATTCTGTCTGCCTCTGACTTGGCCTGTGTCTCTGTGTCTCTGTCTCCTCTCACTTGCTCCTATTGCCGGAGTCTCTGTCCCTCATCTTTTCACCTTCCTGTCTCTGCGCTAGTCTTTGCTTTTCTTGCTTTGCCCCCAACGCCCTGTCTTCCCTCTACTTCCAGGTTGCTGCCTCTTTCGGAATCTGCGGGTTTTCCTCTGCATTACTGGGTCTGTTGGTCTAGTCAGGAGGGCTTTGGGTCCGGTGGCTGTGGGTGGCCTGCTGCCAAAGGAGGGAGGAGCCCATGGAGGGGCGGGATTGACCCTCAAGCCACCTCATAAAGACTGGGACTGCAGGAGGCTTTCTGGAGGAGTCCTGGAGGGGCTGTTTGTTACGGCAGGCAGACCCCAGGAGCTCAGCTGGGGCTCTGCAGTGTCATGCCCTGGAGCCCCCTGGCTGCGCTGAGCTGGGCGCTGGTGCTGCGGCTGCTGGCATTGCTGTGGCCCCCGGGGCTGGGTGAGGCGTGCAGCTGCGCGCCTGCGCACCCCCAGCAGCACGTCTGCCACTCGGCTCTAGGTGAGTCCATGGCCTTTGAGGGGATGCCTGTGGGGAAACTGGTGTTGGGCAGAGCTGTAGACCTGGAATCTGAAGGAAGGGGTGGAGCTAAGATCCTGTATGGGTGCCTCCTGCTGCAGCTGATAAATCAGAAATTGGCTGTTGCTTTATAGACCTTGGAAGTACAAAGCCTGATTTGTAGGGGAATAAATAAATATTCGATCACAGTTCTCCAGAGTAGTTCCCATCAGCTCAGCTTGATGGGACCCAGCTGTCACTGGAGCCATCCAGTAATTTTCAGAACTCCTGAGGGGAGGGGCGTTTGCAATGGAACACCTGCCTCCTTGCCTGCAGTTGAAGTTGCCACAGTGCCACCACAGGACGTCCACATGCGTTTTGTCCTTTCTCTCCCACTACCTGGATACCCTACTTCCACACCTTTAACTACTGGCAAACTCCTATTCACCCTTCGTTTTCTGAAGGCTTTTTGATTCCTTGCTGCGCACTTGGTGGTGGGTGCTGCTGTTTTGTCTAAGGTGTTCTCCGCTAGATCTAGACTTCTGCAGGACGAGAACTCTGTCGAAGAGCCTTGTGCCTAGTGCAAGGTCAGGCAAAGAGGAAGAATTCTTTTAAATAAATTTTCTAGGACTGGTGCTGTAGTTCAGTGACAAAGATTTTTGGCTCTCACACATGAGGTTTTAGGGTCAGTCTTCAATACCAGAAAAAACAAAAACAAAAACAAACAAACACCCAAAATCAAAAAGCAAACCAGGTTTGATTAGATAGTAAGAAATGAGCTACTTCAATGGAGAATGGGTACATTTACAAATCTGATAAACATTTTTACTCTCACTTGAAGGTGAGTTAAGAGATTCTAAGATGTATCAATAGATGAACCCCATTCCAATTGCCTTGAAGGGGTCCCTACCCCAGGGCTATGGAGAATTCAAGCTCTAGACACCAACAGGTTAAAGGGCAGACAGAACACAGTTGAAGGGCCTAACAGCCCTGAAGGATTTGAAGCTGGCAACCACTACAGAGTAAACTCCAAGTTCCTTCTGTCATATGTAGTGTACTGCTGAGAACCCAAAAACATTTGAACCAATTGCTGGATACTCAGAGGACCCCCGGCCATCCCGATCTCATACCGCATACTCCCTCAGTGCTGAAGTTTCCCTTTCTTTCTGTGCAGTAATCCGGGCAAAAATCTCTAGTGAGAAGGTAGTACCTGCCAGTGAAGACCCTGCTGACACTCAAAAAATGATCCGGTATGAAATCAAACAGATAAAGGTACATGGAGCAGGACAAGGGCTGAGCCATGATGGGCTGATGGAGGGATGGGGTTTTGTGCTATGGAGGATGAACCTAGTGGACTCAGGCAGAGGACTCAGGACTCCTTAGGCCCATGCTGAAGTGGAACCATATGAGCTGGTACGGGCAGGACCCATGGGAACCGAGACTGTTCAGGGTGGGGACTCGCTGTCTATCCTGTCCTACAACTCTTTGTCTGTGGGACCTACCTCCCCATCTCCCTGGAAGAAGTCAAGATTTAGATTTATTTAAAAATAAATAAATAAAAACCAGCAAGGTTCTCTGTGCACCAAACCTGAGTTAGACTTTGGCTTGACGTTTGAAAAGAGATGAGCATCTTTTAGCCTGTGGCCCTGCCCTGACCCAGCGCTGCACTTCTGTAACTGCCTTCCAGATGTTTAAAGGGTTCGAAAAGGCCAAGGACGTTCAGTATGTCTACACACCATTTGACTCCTCTCTCTGTGGCGTGAAACTAGAAACCAACAGCCAGAAGCAGTATCTTCTGACTGGTAAGTTAAGGGGCTAACCAGAGGTGTGCTAGTGGCCACGGCCGCTTAGCTGAGGAGAGCACTGAGACTCCCTTTCAATGCAGGAGTCCCTGCTATAGTGATCTTGGCCACTGTTTCACTATTTTCAGGAGAGGCTGCTCTACCAGTCTAGGATAGCTAGTTCCATTTTGGAAGTTTTCATTGGTATAAGGCTTTTGGCATCTTGAGCCCAAATACGTCTCCTGAAGGTGTTTCCCTTGTGTTTATCACTGCCCTGCGTACAAGCTCAACTCTATGGTTCAATCTCCATGAACCCCAGGCGGGGCCAGCCTCCATACAAAACTGGTTGGGACAAAACAGTAAATGAGCCATCTATCCAATACACCCAAGGATATTTTGGGGGAATAAATAAATAAATACGGTACTAAAGAATTCTGGAATTTTGGGAACAAGGTGTTGGTGTGGTTGTGGACAAGGGGGGGAAGCGTCACTGTTTGGTGGCTCTAGGCTGGCCTATAAGATGGAAAATATCTGTAGGGAAATCAAGGGAAACAAAACCACCAGCCCACAGGGAGAACAGGGAGGAGCTCCACTCTACCCGTGGAGCCCACAGACAACCATCTACTCCCTACTGCCAGGCCTGGGCACGAAAGTGGGGATTCAGAGTCCTCAAAGACTTCCTAGTCCATACACGGCTCCTGAAGAGGACACAATGAAAGGGGCTTCTCAGCTCTGAGGATGCAGGATTGTGCTGCCCTGGGCAGCCTCTGCAGAGGCGGGACATGCCACTGTACCTTCCAGGTCCCTCATAAGCCGACCGGTCTCTTCACATCTCTTGATACCCCTCCCCTTTCTCGAGCACCCACTTTGTGGGTCTCACCCTCACTGAGGCACTGATGTGTATCAGGGAAAAGGAAACATGGGGGCTTTTGTCCTTGAGGAGGTCAAGAATAACCGAGGCTGGAGAAAACATAACTCTACAAAAAGGTGTCAGTGGTGCCACGCCTGCAGAAGCCCATGGTCCTTTCACTGGTAGGGAAGAGTCTTTTGTGACTAGAGCACTGTGACCATTGTAGCTCTTTCTTGTCACTTGTCAATGATGTAGTACCCTGCACCTTTCTCCCTGACGACTGAAATGAACTACCTGTAGTTGCAGGGTATGTAGCTGTCCTCCTGCCTTTGTACAAGACAACCCCAGTGTCCAGAGGCCCTTGTAGTTGTTGACAGTGAATTCCCAGTCCTCCCTTCAAGACAACATGAGCACCAGCTCCTCTAGGGCGGTTTCCTTCATCCACCCTCTTCTACACTTGGAGATAAGCATACGTTCCTTTGTTCTTATATCTGGGCAATGGCAGTCCAGTAAACTATGCCTACTTTCTGTCTACCCTCCTAAGGGGTGGAGAACCTGCCATATTGATTTCTACATCTGGTACTAGGTTATAGCAGCCGTTTAGCGAATAAATGGTTGAGTAACCAAATCCTAGCAGAGGTGAGGGGTTGCCTTGTCAGGGATGGCTTTGGTGAGAAGACGTATTGAAAGGGGTCTATGGTGCTTGTGAGATGGCTCAGTAGTGAAGAACACTGGCTGTTCTTTTAGCACCCGCATGGGGGGCCCACAACTTCCGGGCTCTTTAAGAAAAAGATCCATGAAATATTGGAAGGAACTTGATAAACAAATGTTTAAATAGACACTTCCCTATGGGGAAACAATCACCGAGACAGATATCAATTGGGCAGGAGAGGCCAGAGTGGATGTTGGAAAGGAGCAGACGTCTTCTGAGGGCCATCAGCTGTACCAAGCACTCTACACATTCCCCCACTTAGTCTCAGCAACAGCTTTAGTATTCCCACCCTCCACCGGAAAGCTCCTGGGACCTGCTTTATGGCTACAGCAGTTGGTGTATAAAGGGAGTATGCAAAAGAAAAAAAAAAAAGCCTTCTCACAGCCTGCCCTTTTTCTCCCTGCCTGTGCTGGGGATCTAGCCAGACCCTCACACAAGCTAAGTGTGTGCTCCATTACTGAGCCACATTCCCACTCCTGCAGTCAGCCATTTTCTTGCTTGGTATTTACTTGTACCTTTTGTTTGTTTCTCTAAGAAAGGGTCTTGCTATGTAGCCCAAGCTGACCTCAAGCTTTTGATCCTCTTGCTCAGTCTCCAGAGGGATAACGTTACAGGCATGTGACACTAGATCTGACAAGCTCCAGGCTGACTTAAATACCACCTTTTTTTCTGCTTCATGCTTAAGGAACAGACCTCCACCAGATCCCATCTGTCTTGCACAGACACCGTGTATTAGTCTCTGCTTTAAAGGTTATAGGGATTTGTTGGTCCCTTCTTTGAGTCCTAAGTTTTCACTGATGTCATAAATTCATCTGAGACTGGAGTTTTCTGTGTTGTATAGTATGTGTTTAGCATAAATAAGGCATAATTTCAGCACAGAGAGGGAGGAAGGGAGGGAGGGGGACGGAAGGAGAGAGGGAGGGAGGAGAAATCAAGGAAGAAAAGAAAAGGAGAGAGAGACCATTACTTTCTGGGCTGTTTAATGATGGGGACCCCTGGGAGTCCTAAGCAGTCTTCTGACTAGATCTGACTAGATTCCTTTCTCTCCACAAAGGCCAGATTCTCAGTGATGGAAAAGTCTTCATCCATCTGTGCAACTACATTGAGCCCTGGGAGGACCTGTCCTTGGTGCAGAGGGAGAGTCTAAATCATCACTACCACCAGAACTGCGGCTGCCAAGTAAGGGAATGTCCACTTCCAAGGTCTTTTGTGGGTGAGGGACAAGCTTAGAGCCTTGGGGTCTCATCCTTCACGTGTTCCTCCACAGACATGTCCTTCCTCACTTCCTGCACTTATACTGTGCCGTGGAAGTGGGGGTGGGAAGGTGGAGACTGCAGTACCTTATCTCAAAGTCCTTACACTTTGGGTGGGGCACCGCAATCACACGGGGAAGTCTGGAATGACACGAAATGGCCATTTAAAGAAAACCTAAGCCAGATGTGGTGGCTCAGTAGTACTTGAGAGGCTGAGGCAAGAGGGAAGATTCCAAGTTTGAGGCCAGCTTGAGCAACATAGTGAGACACTATCTTTTTTTAAAAAATGAGAAAAGGGAGCAGGGAAAGACGGAGTACTTTTTCCAGGCCCTGTAAGAGTTAATTTATTTTCAAATTTTCATTTCCTCTTTAACAAATTTGTGAAGATGGAGATTTTAATTTTAAGGTAAAGGAATCAAAGATCGGAAGAGCATTTACAGTCAGGGCAGCGTGGGACCCATCAAGGGCTGAGTCTAGTGACACCAGGATAACTCCGTTCACAAGGAGATGGGGGAGCAGAGCTCAGGAGGGACCTTGGGATGGGAAAAGACCAAGGCAGGTGAGATAGCAGTGAGGGGACACAGAGTGTGCAAGGCAGCACAGAGAAAGGACACTCTATTCACCCTGATATTGTGTGATCACCAGATCACCACTTGCTACGCAGTGCCCTGTACCATCTCAGCTCCCAATGAGTGTCTCTGGACAGACTGGCTGCTGGAACGGAAGCTCTATGGGTACCAGGCCCAACACTACGTCTGCATGAAGCACGTTGATGGCATCTGCAGCTGGTACCGGGGCCACCTACACCTCCGGAAGGAGTATGTTGACATCATCCAGCCGTAATGGGGACCAGTGAACACCACATCCATGAAGAGTCCTGAAGCCCAAGCCAGTTCTCTGCGGTTCTCTGACCATCACCGCCTGCCATGTTGCTGCCAGGTGAAGGGAAGTGACAAGTGGGTGGCCTGGCCAGCAGCATGGCAGTTGTGGAGCATGTGACAGCTCCTGTCCACATCTCCAGCTCCCAACTTGTCGAGGGCTGGGGATGGTAGTTTGACTTAGCTGCCTTGCCCTCAGGTCCTCTCCCTTCTCTCTCAAACCCTGTTAGTCTAGTTGATACCTGTTACTGAAAGTTTTTATTCTGGCTTTGTGTTCTCCAGTCAGGAAAATGTATGTTCCTTTTCTTAGCTCATACGGTAAGGGAGAAGCTGTGAGTGTCGTAAGACGGCACAGCCTTGTGGTGCACGCTATGGAAGGGGTGACTGAATCCTGAGTGGGCTGGTTGGCTGGAATGAAAAGGATACACTAAAGCCCCATATCCTCTACTCCCACTGGCTCAACTTAGCCTAATCCTCTGACACATTTTCGTCTGCTTAAAGGGCACAGTGAGAGCTGAACAGCCTACTCTTCCCCGTGCCCTGCAAGGGCCCTGATACTGTTGTTGGCAGAAGGACTGGCCCAGCTAGAGTTCATCTCTGGACAAGGAAAGACTTACTATACAAGGGCAAGCATTCTCCCTCCAGGTTAAATATCTCTACCGCCTTCAGTTGGTGGCCAGGGACTTTTCCGCAGCCTCCTTCAGATTGCTTATGTCTTTGTTCCTATCTTAGAACTTTGATTTTAAGCAAAAACAAAAAGATGAAACAACAAAAGTGACCCCTGAGCATGGTCTTCTCCTAAGACCAAATTCTAGTAGAGGGGGAGAGGGAGATAATAAAAGGACCCTCTGGGAACCACACGCTAGTGCGGAACACAGCTTGCACTTGCTTCACGCTTTTTCAGTGGCTATCCTGCTAGATGCTATAGCAGCAGACAGACAGACAGCTGTGATTCTGAGAGTGTATCTCTACCCTTCAGCTACGCCCCATTACCTGTGTGTCTAGATGTTATAGCAGCAGACAGCTAGCTGTGGTTCTGAGGGTATCTCTACCTTTCAGCTATGTCCCGGTACCTCTGTATCTCAGACTCTAGTTACCAGCCCCTGAAGGCCCCTCAGCCTCTGTAAGCCTTCCTTATTTGTCAAAATGGGGAAACACTGGCAAGAGCCTCTAAGATTTGCTAAACTATAGAGCTCAACATCCCAGAACCTGTTCCTGGGAAAAGCGCTGGATAAGATGGCAGAGATCATCAGTTCTTCTGACAACTCAGAACTGTTTCTCATTTTGATATATGGTCAGGGCCATGTGTGCAGTGCTGGAGGAAGGCTCTGGATTTAAATGCAATGATGGAGATCCCTTTGGGAGGAGGGAGTGGGAGGGGACCAAACAAGATCTCTGTCCCAGAACACAGCACTTGGAGGGCTCTGGCAGAGTCTCCAAGTGGGATCATCCAGTGATAATCCACACCATCCTTGGGCAGAGGGTCTGGGGATGGGGAGGAAGATGAAAAGTGACCTCCAGGTTGCTCCGTGTGCAACATCTTCATAGCTTTCATCCGACCATTTTTCCTTCCCTTCTAACCTCCGGGGACGGACTCAGAGAAGACATAGGATTAACTCTGCTTTGTCACAGTTTGGAGGTAGCAAAGGAAATGGAAGTCTAGTGGAGAATAGCAGAAGCAACAGCTTCTGCCTTAGGAGGCTTCATACCCACCAGGAGGCTTTTACTTGAGGAATCTCTTTGAAGTCATATGCATGCTGTATGAGGTATCCTGGTCAAAGGCAGCTATGCCCACTTGGCATGGTTAAGGAACTGACATCCGGTGAGGGACTGTAACACTGCCAGAGACCCATGGCAAAGCTAGAGCTATACTCAAAATTGTGAAACCTCCTGACTACTGATTTATAGATTTGTTGCCGTCTCTCATTAAAACGCCCTTTGTTTCTGCTTTCCTCTACTCGGTACCCAGAAGTGGAAAACAAAGCTGTTGGCTAGAATCTAGCTACTTTCGCTTCTCTAAGCAGCTACCTGAGGGGTTGGGCTGAGAGGCTGAGCCCTTGACAGGCCTCCAGAGTCACCATGTGGCTATGAGTAGGAACAGCACAGAGTCAAAGCCCCAGTCCGCCACCTACCATCTCTCGGTGGTTGGGATAGTATGTCTGCTCGATGAGTGGGAACTTCTCCCCTCCCAGTTTCTTGAAGATGGTTACCATCTGGGCAAACTGCAAAAGACAAGAAATAATTTCACTGCATTTTCAGTTTCTGAACCAGACAAAACATCAATGCATCAAATAAATGCAGAGCATTTTCTCTGTAGAAGACATTGTGTTCAATAAACTGACAATACCAAGAAAGGTACATGCAATTTCAAGGACGTATGCTTTAGTAGCAGAAGGCAAAGAGAAAGCTAGTATTCACAGAGGACCTACTTAATTTTAATGGTTTTCCCCCAATCTTTTCAAATTAACAAGGCTGAGAAGAGGCAGGGAACTTCACCTGAATCCCAGAAGTGGGGCCGGGGGAGCGGTGCACATCTATAATCTCAGCACTCAGTGAGGCAGGAGGATGATGAGCCTGAGGCCAGCCTGGGCTACAGAGTGAGCGCCAGGCCATTGTGCCAGGCTACATGGTAGGATATTGTCTTTAGGAAAAGAAATCAATAACAGCTGAAAAGAAGCGAAGCTGGGATCAAAACGTGAACTCTAACCCCAAACACATGCTCTCCTGAGCGATGGAGCAAGACAGAGCTGAAGTGGTAACGTGCTGAGTCTCAGAAGTTCTAGCACCAGGCAAAAAAATAAAGGACAACCTTCCCGTGCGCTATACAGAGCCACCAGAGTCTGCACAAGAGGTGACATGAATGAGGCTGTTCCTCAGGAAGACTGGAGGGAGGGTCCCAGTGGTCAAACACACTGATCTATCTTCACGGCTCTGCTTTGCTGGAATTACAAGAGCTAAACTTGGTAGACCCATTATGTGTGGCAAAAGGAGAGAAGGCAAGGTTCAGATACGCACAGCGCTGGGACCGGAAGGAGAGAAGGCAAGGTTCAGATACGCACAGCACTAGGACCGGAAGGCCTCTGGTGCACGTCCAGCACCCCTTGACCTTTCAAAACCAGAGAGGCGCACGGCCCGAGGTCACGCTCTTGAGCACAGTTCTCTGCCAGAGCCTTCATTCCCTGTCTGTTTTTCTCCTGAGTCCTGTGAGTACCTACTTATTTTTCAGATTCCACAGAGGCCGTGCACTTCTCGCAGGAACACAGATCTTTCCCACCTGGTCCACATTAACCCACAACGCCCACCCCAGTGCATGGGCGGTAGCATCTTCTCTCTAGTGGGATCGGTTCAGGCTTCTAACCGCCAATAGCTTGGTCAGCTACAAGAGGAAGTTGTTGGACTAAGCCTACCCTCCACTTGTCAGAGACAGGAAAGCTAGAGCCTTTCCCCCAAAGCTCAAGTTCCATTCTCTGCAAGGGATCTTAGTGTGTGAGCTCCTCCGGAAGGGTTATCAGCAAAGTGGAGTCCCCTCGTGTCTTCCTTTTAACTCAGTAGTTGCCTTTGGACAAAAGGCCGCTTCCTCCCAGGCTCCCTCTTCAGATGTGAGCAGAGAACTGTCGGTTCCTTCAGCTTCTCACACCGTGCATCAGAAAGAACATCTTTTGCTGCGTTTCCCCACACCCTCCATCAGAGTTTGGTCCTTTCGTGGGGGAGATTTTATTAAAATGCGGGGAAATGTGGGCCTTTCTGGACCACGTCTTCAGGGTGTCTAAGACTTTCTTTAGGATTCAGGATCTCACACTTGGAATGGTCTCCACACGGGGTCTGAGGCGCCTAGGGCATACCTGGTACTACAGCCACACTGGCAGAGTGCCCGGGTCTCTTCATCCCACTGCACCCTCTATGGTTCTCTGTTTACTTCTAACCCCTGGATCCTTCAGTTTGCTCTGACTGACCCCCAGTCCCTTCTTGCCTTCTTTCCCCAACCCTTCCTCACCTGACCTTTCGGATCTCTCTGCCCACCTGGACCTGGCTGGATGCCTCTTCTGTCTGGGCTTCTGAGGCTCTCCAGCATCCCCAGGGAGTTGATGCCAGCTCTGCCTAAAAGACCTCTGTCCTGCTGCAGCCCACACTCTGGCATAGCACCAGACATGTGGGGCCCTATCTTCCCTGTGTGTGGGTGAGTTACACAGACAACCACACCGATGCCAGGAAGGCCTCCGGCAGACTCCCAGGGCCCTGGGACAGCCAAGACTAAAATGACAGCCAGTTCCCAGGCTCTAGTTGGGTCCCTGAGAGCCCACTCTACCCTCCCTACCCTATTCCCTGTCTGATTAATGGACTGGACTTGGCATCAAACCTGTGCCTCCCTGGAAACTCAGATTAAGTCGCAAGTACACAGTTACCAATTAAACAAAGGTAACATCTGATAAGGGCTATTTCCTCTATGCAGAGCAAAAACTGAATCTGCGAGCTGGTATGGGGCTGGTGGCGAACAGAAAGAGGCTTATTTAAACCACCTATCTAAATGACCCAAGAAGGAATTCACTAAAGAAATGGGTTCTTTTTGAACATTGTGTTAGTCCTGTCTCTCCTAGCTATGAAATCCTTTAGTTTAACCCAGGTCTGTCAATTTCCAAATGCTCTAGAATTCGGCTCTGCGGAGCAATCAGGGATGGTGGCATTCCTGTTTTCTCTGGCCTGCTGTTTTCATCCATTTCTCCTGAAACCCCAGTGGCTGCCCTGGCCAGTTCTGGGGACAGCAGCCTTGCTCAGAGTCATTCTGGTGCAAGGCATAGCCTCCCCTAGCCCACTGGATGCCTCTCCCTACATCAAGAACAAAGAAATTTAGGGAACACGAGCCAAAGTTGTCCGTGTCAGAGGGACACTCCCCTCGCCGTCACTAAATGCGTCCACTTCTACTGACAAGCTGAGAACAACATGTAAAATGCCATTTGTGTGGCAGCTGCTTAGTGAGACGCAGGGAGAACTTGGTGTGTGGCCAGCAAGCCCTGTTGTTCCCATGCAATGCCAAAGGCAATGTGCTGGGGTTGTGAATGGGTGAGAATGTGACCCCTCACCAGATCCCAGATCCCGTGAGGGATCTTTCTGTTCCTCCCTTCTCTAGCCTCTGCCACAGTTTAGGAAAAGAAAGCATGGGACCATGTCCTTTAGGAGGGCTCAAATATCAGGGAACTATAATAACTACACTGGCAAAGTAATGGCATTTACTGATAGTCACAGTTTGTGACACAGAAGATGGTTAGTCACAGTGCTATGTCATTCGGTCACTCAGTAAAAGCTGGTACCAGTGGCATCACCTGTGTAGCCACAAGAGAACCTAATTCTGACAGGAAGTGGGGACGGGGTGGGTTAGGGCACATTTCAGGAGGAAGGTCATGTGACTGGGGAGAAATGGGAGGTTCCTAGAGAAGATATTTGACGGATGCCTCATCTGCGCTTTCTGAGACAGGCAACACACGCAGCTCACGCCCCCCTTTCAGCCCATTTCTGCACAACAGTAAGATTCCAGATGTCACAGGCCACACACACCGAAAAGCTGCAAGCAGGGCTTAGGAACCCAGCCACTCCTCGACCACAGCAGCTCGCTAACCTCCTCCTCCTCGTCCATGCCTCTTCCTCCTGCCCTGGAAGGTCTCCCCATCCAGAGAATAGGAAAGCTGTCCACTTGAGTGTGGACAAAACAAGAAAGTCAAGAGCAGAGTTAACAGGCCCACGTGATTATACAGTACCCCTCCAGCTCCCAGAGCCAAGAGGTTTACGGTTCAGAAATGTCACAATAAGCCTGGTGAGCCTTGGCAATCTAGTGTGTGTGAAGCTTGATTTTTGAAAAAACAAGAAGATGAAGAGGATATGATCAGAGGCAAGCATTTCCTTCCACGAGGCCAGCCAGGAGCAGTGGAGCTATCAGAGGAGAGTCCCCAGTCGTCCTAGGCCCCACGTTTCACTCCATGCTTTCCACAGCCCTCCACTGGCCGTGGAAGAGGAAACCAAGCCAGTTCTTCACTTGTGTGAGAGACAGCATGACGTGCAGAAATCCTGGCTCTGTATGCTTGGCAAGTGGCTTAATCCTTCCTGGGTCTGATTGCTCTGTACAAAAGTGAAAATAATAATACCTCCCTGCTAAGTTTATCATGGAGATTCAATGAAATTACACAGAATAATATCAGAGGGAGGCACCACACCAGCAAGAGGTTTCATGCTCCTCGTTTTCTTTCTCTTCCCACGAAAAGGTAAGACGTAAGTGTCTCGAAGGGCACTTCCAGCTCACACTAACTCTCGGGTTCACGTGTGTGTGAATGAGTCTGACCTGACTCCAAGGCTGCTGGAAGGCTGACGGAGCTCTGCCTGTAGTAGCCTGCTGAGTTGGGTTTCTCTGTCAGCTTTAGGCCTTTCCAATAGTTTACCCATTTTCAGAGGCAAGAGGCAGGCACTTTTCTCGCTGCAGCTCCCAGTCAAGGAAAGACCCACAGACCTGTAAGGATTTTGTCACAGGATCTTTGGGCAGAGGTCTCGCCGCCCAGGATGTCTGGTAAGATGCTACGGTGATGGGGTGATGGCCTACTCCAGCCAGCCCCAGCTCCCAAGCCTCAGGTCTTAGCTGATGCTAGGATGGAGTTCTGGAAGGAAGAGCTCTGGGGAAGTGAGGGAAGGCGCCTTACCACCCATGGCTTGTCGCAGAAGTTGTAAATGGACTCCAGTGAGTTGACGCTGGGGAGCCCTGCGTACTGCATGCCAATGACAAGGTGGCGGAAGTCCTCATTCTCTGCCATGCCGAATGCGTGCTGTCGGATGAGTACAAAGTCTGGTCTGAAGGACCTGGTGAGAGGGCAGAGGCAGGTTTCCATTAACTAGCACCTTGTAGCAAATTTCCAAAGCCTAAGGCAGAAGAGATGTCAAAGACCACCCAGCCCATGACCCTCATGTTGTTATTACTCCTTTCTGGATGGGGTAATAAGGTCTCATGACACTTTCCAGAGGAGATCTGAGAACTGTGTTTCTGAATCTGTCCCGTTCCTTTGGACTAAATGCTGTCTTTTTCTAGCACACAAATATTTGAAGAAGGGAAAAGACACTTTTAGAGCAGTATACATTAAGTGAGAGAGATTTTTTTCCTCTATCCTCATGGGGGGTATGAACGCTTGAAGCTCCTGTGCTCCAGAGTTGCCGCTGGAAGACCACACTACCAGGTCTCTGATCTTAACGTACTGTTCAGTTCCTTACAGCTGCTCCTTAAAATAGGCAATGCCCTCATCAGGCCCCAGGAGAGCAAGAGGCTAGGCTGGCTGAGGGCAGAAGCCAAACTTCCCAATGCTGTTCTTCCAAAACGGACGCTAGGGAGCGGTGCAAATATTTTTCGCAGAACTGAGGTTGAGCAACGGGGCTGCAGGAAGCACTGAGAGTACGGAATGTTCCCATGCATGGGAAAGCTTCCCTGGTTTCACCTCCAGCCAGCAAAGCTCCTAGCCGTAGCTGCTTTAGAGGACTAGGTGGCCTGTCTTCATGCCCTAGCTTCAGAGACCTTCCCAGAGAGGCAGTTGTGGCAGCATCTGCCCCCAAGGCTCTGCGGCTCAGCATTTGACACCATGTACAATGACCTACCTGGTTCTCTGCCCAGGCACCCATCCAACCCCCACCTACAGGTCCAGCCCAACCCAGCTCAGAGATCAGCTCTAGCGAGGCTCAAGGAGCTCCTCTCGGTCGTTCAAACACTTCTTACCAAGATGGTTCGACATCTGCTGAGAGTATACTCTGACCTTTCCCCAAGTTCTGGGGCCTGATGTGAAGTCCAGACACACCCCGTTAAGCCTTTCCTGGTGGACACTAAAGCCCAGCTGTATCCCTGACATCAAATCCCAATCTTATATCCCAGTTTCAGGAGTACTTGCCCTGGAGCCCTGCTGCTGAACCTTCTGTCCCTACCTGCCTATGTGAGCATCTCCATGACACGTTTGACCCACGGATGGAGAAGCCCATCTATCCTGCCGCAGGACCTACGTCACATCTGAATGGGCGTCTGCTTCTCCTACATTCTTCTTCAGATTCTAGAAAGGGCAAGCCCACCTTCCTGTTCTTAGGTCCCGCACATATCCAGTCTGGCCTTTTCTGTCGCTGACCCAGATCCCGTTGGACACTAGACTCACAGGGGTCGGGGCCCTGTGCCTGAGGTGATGAAGAGAGCGGTGTGGGTCGGATCCCTCCTGAAACAAGACTTATTTCTGAAAACCTAAAGCAACATTAAGTTCCTGGGGAGAACAGAAACCATTTCACTCATCTGGAATTCTCATTCTGCCCCTGAAGGAACTGTTGTGCACACGTCAGCATCCCAGCATCTAAGTCAGGTGTTTTAAATAGTTTAAAAAGCAATGGAACCTGGTTTTCCTGGGGAACTGTTTGGGGATATAAAAGCACAAGCCCATGCTGACTTGAGGGTAGACAGCAGAAGTCTAACAGAATCCAGTTACCTCTAAGTGAAACTTCAGTTGCTTTTCTAATGCTGGACTGAGTTGCCTTCTCTAGCGCTCCCACGTAACACACGGTGGGACTATCTAAAGCTGACGTTGTCATCACCCCCATCAAGTCAGAGGTGACAGAAAGGCCCTTACCGGACAACCTTTGTGCCATTCCGGAGCACCTGCATGTCCACGGCGTAGGTTCCATCTGCATGGGCCACCAGGTTTAGCTCGGAAAACTCCGCCTGGAGAATAACAGGACAGCAGCGAGTCTCAGT